TAAGATAAACTCATCTTATGTCTTTAACTGTCATTTCTCGAGATCAAAATAATATCATAATAAAAAACATAAGTCAAATGCATGCTCAAAATAATTTATGGACAGGGGAAGATATATTTTTATTATTGAAAGAGGTTGTACCCGAAGAACATATGGGTTGCCCACGTACCCCGTGAAGGGATAAAGTCAAATCGTAGTTCTCTTACATAAATAACTCTCACTAACCAAAAATATCAAAGGTTTCCAAAATACCCATATTAGCAACATGTGTCATAAAAAGTTTAGAATCAAGTCCCTTAGTCAAATGATCTGCAATTATCACCTCTGTATTAATATGCTCTATTTTTGTCTGCGCTTCCTTGACTCTATCTCTGATCACCAAATAATTGATGTCAATGTGTTTTGATCCACTAGAACTTGTATTGTTTTTTGAAAAGAACACGGTTGCGCTATTATCACAATAAATAGTGATTGACCTCGAGATGGAGTCAAAAACTTTCAGCCCAGAAATAAAATTTCTTAACCAAACGGCTTGAATTGTAGCTCCATAACATACCACAAATTTAGTCTGTATAGTAGAAGATGCCATTAGAGTCTGCTTAACACTTTTCCACGAGATAGCTTTTCCACGAGATAGCACCACCAGCTAACATGAAAATATAACTTGAGGTTGATTTCAAATATTCTTGACATCCAGCAAAATCTAGTAAAATTTGAGTTTGAATAGCCTACCACCTCAAGGTGATTTGAATGCTGAAAAGTGAGCATGTAACTTTCAGTTTTCTTTAAGAATCCCATAACTTTTTTAGCCGCTTTCCAATGCTCTTCTCCTAGATTCGGCGAAATCTACTAAGAACACTGACTGCATAAGCAATATCCGATCTAGTAAAATTTGAGCATACATCAAACTCCCCACAGCACCAGCATAAAGAATCATCTTCATAGATTCTCTTTCTAGCGCATTTCTGGGACATTAAGTTTTGTTAAACTTATCTCTTTTTATGATATGTACATCACCAGGTGCACATTTTTGAATATTGAACCTTTCTAGAATACGTTGTAAATAAGCCTTCTGAGAAAATCCCAACACGCCACGATTTCTATCACGGTATATGTCAATGCCAAGCACATAAGTAGTTTCTCCAAGATCTTTCATCTCAAAATTAGCAGATAACATCTTATTTGTCTCATAAAGTAACCTCAAGTCACTACTAGGAAATAAAATGTCATCAACATACAGGACAAGATAAATAAAATTTTTCCCACTATCACCAAAATCATTTTCCAAAAATTTAGCAGTGATTGACTAAACAATTCTGGTGCCACGATTTGGACAATAGAATTTATATCCTTTTGATTTGTCTGGGTACTCAATAAAGTAATCAGGAGTGGATTTTGGGTCTAATTTCTTCTCAAATTGATTATAAATTCTCACCTTAACTAGACATCCCCAAACTCTAAAATGAGCCAAACTTGACTTACGTCCACAACTCGAAAGGTGTCTTTGCAACAGCTTTACTCGAAACTCTGTTCAAAATATACATAGCAGTTTTCAAATCTTCACCCCATAGATATTCTGAAATATTTGTTCTACTCGTCATGTTCTTGATCATGTCTTTAAGAGTCCGATTACGTCTTTGAGAAATGCTATTCTGTTCAGGTGTTCCTGGCATGGTATATTGAGGCACTATGTCACACTCTTGTAAAAATTTTGCAAAATCACTCATGTTTTAACCAGACTCATCATACTTCCCATAGTACTCACCACCTCGATCAGATCTTACAACTTTGATGCTTTTCACACTTTGTTTCTCTACTTCCATTTTGAAA